TAATATAAAGAAAATAATTAATTATGAATTGGAATTCCATTTAATTCCAGTTAGCAACTTAACTCTTAAATTATTCATAATAACTAATATAACCCTCCATTGAATCTAATTCAATGATAATAATATAAATAACTTTATTACCCTTGGTAGGTACTAGCCAACCTTAGAAAATCAACTCTCTTTGGCTATTTCTCCATTCTCCTTAGTTTTTATGTGTGACCTCTTAGGTTCATTGTGGCCTAGCCGTGGGCCCAATATCATAGTCTATTTCGATATGTTTCATCATAATTCTTTATGACCGAAACTCCCACCGATTATGGTAGGCATTCAGCAATGCTCCATAACCCCTAAGTCACAATGAAGATATACTATAACAAACCCTTTTATAATCATATGCACTGTGTAATCAAATCCTTCCGTTGTCTAATCCCAATTAAGAATGGATTCATGGTATGTCAAAATCCTTGTCTTAATTTTATATCAAATTGACAATCAATACATAGGGAACATATCACCATGAAACAACCTTTCAGGTAACATTTTATATACCCTGACCGAAGATTTCCCTTTTCTAATGTATCTTGACATTTGTTTAGGAACTTGATATCAATCTATACCAAGTCAATGGATCCCATCTTGAGTATCACTTGTCTTCACACATAAACAACACATGGCCAAATCGGCTTATTAACACATGACATGATTAGCCTAGTGTTTATACACCATATGAACCATATGCATTTATGCAGAATCCAATCGTGATATCTCAGGTCTAAGGATTAATAATATACTCATACGATCTTATGATGCATTATTGACTACATTTTAAATGTCTATGTGATTCAGCATAAATGACCATATTCGATAAACAGTTCACTAACTGCTTATCCATGCTAATGTCCTAGTGATATAACTTTTATAATCACCCACACTAATACCATCACATGATATTCAACGGAGGCATTCAACATGCTTACTATGTAATATTATTGCCCAATTAATATTACCTATGTATGGAATACTTTGATGATTTTGATCTTCTAAAGATTTGTATCATCCGAACATTTGACATGTAATACATAAACGTAAATGAAGCAATAAACCACATGTGAAATAAGAATACTTTCTTTTATTAATAAGATAAAAATTTATATACAAAATATATACATTAACATATACAGTAAAACCTCTCTATAGTGATACTCTATATAAGAATAAACTCTACATAATCATAAAAAATTATATTCCCAATTTGGGATAGTTATAAATAAGAATAAACTCCACATTGTAATAATTATAATTTTTTTAATTCCCGTCTTAAGGAAAGTTGCCTCCACATAGTAATAATTATTTGTATATTGCAAAAAAAAATATATGTCATGTTACATTAAAAGTTTATGATGAAATAAAATATTTATTTAAAGTTGTTTGGGATAATGATTTATGCTTTAGATTTGTTACCAAATCTTCTAACTTGCGGGTATATAACTCGCTAGCATGGAAACCTTCTTGTTAAAGCCAAAATATTTCTAGCTTTTCAAGCATCTTTAGAGCTTCATGGCACAGAACTTTTTGCATTTCCGTACTATCATCTTCGGGATTATTTCCTTTCTTTTCTTGTCTAATTGCAGCAATGATTTCTTCTTTAGTTAAAGCATATACGACTTGTTGCTCATTTGATGATCGAGGAAGACATTAATATTCTTTCGATTAGTGTAGTGAGTTGTCGAATCTGATCACTCAATTCTGCAATGACTTTTCTATTCTCCTCATCCACTTCATTTGTAACTTGCAATTCATCGACATCAAGGGTCCAAATTTTGTAGTGCTTAAAACAATTGATAATTGTCTGTGGCTTCACATCAATTGACTATACAGTAACTGCATTTACAATTCCATCAAAGATACTTATCTTTTTTGGTTCCAATACATGATCTTCTATCCGTTTCAATAGTAAGCAATTAAAGCGCTGCCGATAATAACCTTTGAAATTTCTAATAATGCCTGCATCACATGGTTGGATTTTGGAAGTGCTAGCTGGTGGTAGGAACAGAACAATTGTGTGATGAAGTGGGGGGAGATTCTCCTTTTTGCCATGTGCAGTACAATTATCCAATATAAGCAAGACATTTCTATCCAAACGACTATCAAACCACTTAAGTCATTCCATAAAAAACAAAGATGTCATCCATGCATTTGACTTCGCTCGATACTTGCAATTGAGATTATCACGGTTAACATTATTAAAGCATCTTGGATTAAGAAACTTACCGATGACCCAAAGTGGAAGTTTGTCAGAGCCATCGCCATTGCAACAAATAACAATTGTAATCCTCTATTTGTTTTGCTTTCGGCCCTCCAACTGCTTTGTTGCAAGAGAGTTATCGGCTTGCATTCGATAAAATAAACCAGTTTCATCCATATTATAAATGTCCTTCCAAGCCCATTTGTCTAATTCCTCTCTTATCGATGGCAAACTAGCTTCAATTTTCTCCATATTAACTGAACCACTTTCCCCGAAACGATGAAAGGAATGAATTGCTTGAACTTTTCCAACCATCCATTTGAAAATCCAAATGAGGTGGCTTCAGGATAAAGTTTCCTTAGAAAAATATTTCCCTTCTCTTTTAACAATTCACCATTCATATTGACATGCTCTTGATGGCATACAAACCATTCATAGAGGGCAGACTCCATTGCTGGGTACTTTACCATCTTTAAATGTTTTGTGTTTGGGTTCAACAATCCTTCTTCTTGAAGGAGGTCAACTGATCGTTTGAGTGTCTTAGATATTGCTGCTTGTGATACCTTAAGACCATGAGTATCTTCTAACCATTTCACAAGATCTTTTTGCTTCCAACTAGGGTTTGATTCTTTCATTTTGCACAACTCAACATGAATACTTTTGGTCAATTGAGTCCGCGTATTAACTTTGGGTGGCATGATTGATTTGCTAGAGGAAGAAGAAAGGTATCACTTGAATTGGTGGAAGATTTTATTGAAAACTTGATTGAATAAGTTGAAACATAACAACCCTATTTATAACAGGCTAATCATAATTCTACTAGGATAAGTAAATAAGAAATTCTAATACTACTACTAAAACATGAATTGAAATCCTAGTACTACCAAAACATGAATTTAAAATAGGAAATCAAGTAATATTAAAAGTAAATAGGAAATCTTAATACTACCAAAACATAAATTATAAAATAAGAAACAAGTAATATTAAAAGTAAACAAGAAATCCTAAGGGTCTGCTTGGGAGTTTTATGGTAGCGGTTATGAGGGTAAACCATCGTAGCGGTTTTGAGGGTAAACCACCGTAGTGATTTTGAGGGATTTTTAGTAGCGGTTTTTAAAACACTCAACCTGTGCTTGGGAGTTTATTTTCCAACGGTTCTGACAGTTTTTTAAAATGATAAATTTACATATATGCCCATCATAAAAGCCTAACAAAAAGTGCAAAATATCAAGTCTGAGTGTTTTTTTATCTTCGTAATCTTTTCTCTAATGAGATTAAGAAAGAAAATTACAGGTCTGATTCTTCACAAGACCCACTACTACCACCTGCTCCTGCTCCTGCTCCGTTACCACCACAGTTGAAACCCCACCTTGAAAGATCTGATTCATTGCTTGCTAAACATAAACAATCTACTCCCATTATTGTCTGTCGTAAATGCAGTTCTGTTTCTACTAAACCTTTCACTTCTTCTACATTTGCTTGACAACAACAACAACAAACTGATGACAAGAAGCTGCCTGCTGATATAAAGCAGCCCTCAGTAGAACGAAGCAGCAGCTTGTTAAAGGTGAAAACAGAAGAGAAAGCTATAACAACTGGAGCAAGAAGCTCCAGAAGAAGCAACAGAAATCCAACAACCAATACTAATAATACCACTTCTCCTCTTAGTAACAAAAAACAAAACGCCGCCTCAGGTTCAAAAGCTAGTTCCGGTTCAGGTTTTGTTGATAAACGAGAAACTCTGAAAGCAGATAAGAAGAAGAGCGAGGGATCAAACACATCTATTATGTAACTTTTTTTTTTAGCAGTAAAGGGATTATTAATAGTGGAAAGGGTTTTTTTTGGGGATAAAAATTAAAAACCAGCCAAAACACCCCAATTTGGGGTGTTTTATAAACCCCTCAAAAATACACTACACTGGTTTTGGGGGGTTTTTAAACCAGTCAAAACCAGTCCATAAAAAATCTGGCAAGTAATGGTTTTTAAGCACCTCAAAACCAGTCTAATTAAAAAACCCCAAAACCAGTGAAAAAAGAACTCCCAAGCAGACCCTAATACTACTAAAACAATTAATTGAAGTACAATTAATTGAAGTCCTAATACATACTATTAAAACATGAATTATAAAATAAGAAATCAAAATAGTTTTTTTGTAATTACACATCTATTAAGTTATAACCTCCTTATAGTAATAAATTAGTTTGATCCCAACATTATGACTATAGAGAGGTTTTACTGTATATACAAAGCATAATACCTTGGAACCGACGACACGATTGGTTCCTAGGGCATACACTAACAACGACAACTCTCCCCATCACCACGAAAACACTCCCCTCAGTCTCCTGACCAAAACCCATCTCACCCCTACCCCATTTACCTCCCCAATCGCAGGCGACAATAGGCTTTTTCTGGCAACATTGTTTTGCGATTTTTAGTCGATTCACTCACCAGAAATCGACGCCGTTGCCACCATTCCACTCAGTGGCCATTCCGGGTCACGGTTGAATCGGTTCAATCGGCCAGGCTGGGTTAGGTTCCTAATCACTGCTTCCCACCATATTTGATATTTTTAAGGGGGTTTTTAATATTTCTTAGAGGGATTTTTTACAATTAAAGGAGTGTTTTTTATACTTTCTAAACAAAGGGGATAAATTTGAACCTAAGTGGTCTCTCAGGGAGGACAAAAGATGAACCCTCCTACCGTGTTTTAATCTATTTTGAGCAGCAGTTTCAAGTGAATCTCGTCTCACAAATGTTTATGAACCTGAGGAGACTCTCACTTTCGGTGAGACTTTACTCTGAAACCACTCAACTTTTAAACCCTACACCAGCAAACCAACCCTTAACTAAAACCCAGCTCAACTCCTTAGTCCTCGCCCAATACTCCCATGGCCACTTCTCTAAACTCCTCCAAAACGTCGTGGCTTTACCCTCTGTTCTCTTCACTGCCTCCCTCAACCTAAACAAACCCCACAATGTCCCCAACTCCAACCACTTCTCAATTCAAGACATGAGTCGGGAGCTTATCGAAAACCGCTTCGATATTCAGTCTTGTTGTGTCAAACTGAGCGGGAAAGGTGAGCTTTTGGTTTTGCCCAATTTGAAATTAAAAGTCTTGATTGAAGCTATTAGAATTGTATTAGAAATTGTTTACGATGAACGTTTTGTTACTTTTTCTTATGGTGGTCGTGTTAATATTGGAAGACACACGGCAATTAGATACCTTAAAAACTCGGTAGAAAATCCCAGTTGGTGGTTTGCTGTTTGGTTTAATCGTCAAAAGTTTGATAGACATAATGTAGATAAGTTGTGTTTAATTATGGGTGAGAAAATAAAGGATGAATTGTTGATTGATTTGATAAAGAGGTTTTTTGATTGGGAAATAGTGAGTATTGAACTTGGTGGGTGTTATTTGGGCAGGGGGTTGCCTCAAGAATGTGGATTGTGTTCGATTTTAATTAATATTTACTTTGATTGTTTAGATAGAAAATTGCAAGAAACACGTCTTCAAATAAATGAGAAGAATCCCAAGTTTAACTTGAATGAGCTTTGTTCTGGTTCCAGTGTTTATTATAAGCCATTGAAGATATATGCGGTTAGGTATTTGGATGAAATATTGGTAATTACTTCAGGTTCAAAAATGTTGACTATGGATTTGAAGAATGTGGTTTTGAAATTTCTAGAGGAGAAATTAGAGTTGAATGTTGATAGAGTGAAAACTGCAATTCATAGTGCAGTGTCAGAGAAGATTGATTTTCTGGGAATGGAACTGCAGGCTGTCCCGCCTTCAGTTTTGTGTCCCCCTATGTCTGAAAAGGCAATGAGAGCTAGGAAGAAGTACCTTAGGCAGAAGGAAGTCAGAGCTTTGGAGTTGAGAAATGCTCGCGAAAGGAATAGGAAGAAGTTGGGTTTGAAAGTGTTGCATAATGTTTTTAAGAAGCTGAAGCAGAGTAATGGGTTCGAGTTTGAGTTTCACATCGAGAATGAAGTCAAAGATATCTTTAGAACTTGGGCAGATGAAGTGGTTGAAGAATTTTTGGGATCCTTGGAAGACCATTGGCATTGGCATCGAATGCTTTCTAGAGGCAATTTTCTTTCTTTGAGGCACATAAGAAATCAATTGCCAGAAGGCCTTGTTGATGCTTATGACAAATTTCAAGCGCAAGTTGACAAGCATTTGACACCAGTCAAAGCCAGAAAGGCACTGGAGGAAGAAGAAAGGAGAGTAGAAGAGGAGGAGGAGAGAAAGTATGTTGAGAGAACAGTGGAGGATTTGATGAGGCTTTGCATGAAAGTCTCTGCACCTATGGAACTTGTTAGGAAGGCTGTTAAAATGGCTGGATTCACCAACAATATGGGTCGTCCTAGACCAATCAGTTTACTTACTGCTCTTGAAGACACTGATATTATTAAGTGGTATGCGGGTGTTGGGAGAAGATGGCTTGATTTTTTTTGCTGCTGTCACAACTTTAAGATGGTGAAAACTGTTGTAACTTATCACCTTAGGTTCTCTTGTATTCTAACACTAGCAGAGAAGCATGAATCCACCAAACTTGAAGCAATTAGACATTACTCTAAAGATTTGAAAGTCACTAATATGGAGGGGATTGAAGAAGTGTACTTCCCCACAGAACGGGAGGTTAAGATGATGGGAGACAAGAACCTTTCAGATCCGAAACCTGTCGATGGGGCTTTATTGCTGGCTTTGATCAGGTTGGCCATTGATGAGTCATCATATTCTTGTGCTGCTCATTTTTGTGACAGTACTAATACTATCATGTATAGGGTGAGGTTACTACAGAACCGTGTAAACATTAATCCTTTGGATGAAGATAAGTGGGTTAAGGGTATGGGAGTAATTCATAAAGCTCTGGATAAAAGGTGTATCCCTCTCTGTTCTGATCACATAAATGAGTTATTACTTGGGAAAATTACCCTTCAGGATATTGATTGTACTTCACCTGTTGATGCGGCCTGAGTTTAATTGCTTTCCTTCAAGTTTTGTATGACCTGGTTGTGGTCTGAAGCCTGCTAACAATTTGAAGCTGAAGTCGAAATATTGTTTAAACATTGTTTTTTATTTGATTCATATATATACAAGGACATAGGTTTGGCCTTCTGTATTGTAATACTAATTTTGTAACACCTATGAAATGTTAACATAAATGACACAAAATATTATGACAGTTACCAGTACCCCCAGTGATCAATCTCACGTAGATTTCTTGAAACGGTGACTTGATCACTGATGAAATGGATTGACTGAGACATTTCTTCTTTCCAGAAACCATGAATTTTCAATTTTTTTTGTAGATAAGTTTGTCTTGATGTAAATAGTCAAACCGTTTTCTGGTTCAAAATTGCTGCTGTTCTTCAGGAATGGTGTTTTTTGGGAGATATTAACTCTTCAGACTCTCTACATAACTGATAATGCTGTTAGATTTTTTATAATTTAGGTTGAAATCCATCCTTTCCCCTCCCCTCTCTCAACCCTCCACCGCGCCCCCCCACCCCCCCCAAAAAAAAAAAAAATTAGTACCATAGGAGGTTCTTATGGATTTCTTCTGCATCATTGTAAAGCATAATTCGGTGTACACTGGTTAATTTATTCTAGTTCTTTATTTGTACGAATTTTCACAAATTCACCATTATATTAGTTTCCTTATGTAATCTTAATAAGAATATTTTCAATGTTTTCGAACTGTGATTGACACTATTTAAGGGGATTAAATTCTTTAAGTGAAGGCTAAAATATAACTAAATTAATGAAGAGTGTGACCAGCTGCTTGGAAGTATTATTATGGGTTTGTGGTGGAAAGTTGTGAATTCTGAAAAAAGAATTGGTGAAATTTATCATTCTCAACCCTAACAATTGGCAATAAGCTGCTGATTATTCTGTAGGCTTTTAATTTTTTAAGGTAATTGCCGCTATGATATCAAGATAATTGTTTTTTTGGTGCTTTATAATTTAGGTTTGCCTGAAAAAAGTTTGTTTCATAGGCAATAATATCTGAGGAATTATTTCTGCGACGGGTATGCTGACTTTAGGGGATAGGTTCTAATGGAATTAATATATGGGTACCATTTTAAGGCTCCTCCTGTTTTTAGGGATGGTTTATTCACTCTTGTTAATCCTTATACAATTAGTACAAGTCTTTTCTTTCTTATCTAAAAAAACCAAAAAAAAAAAAAAAAAAAAAAAAATGAAAAGGGCTATTGAAGGTACAAAGTTGCAGTTCTGATCTAATGTTGTTTGAGCCCATAATCTGAGGTTATATATTTCTTTCGGTCACCTTTAATGGAATTTTTCTATTGTAATTAGTTTGTAAAAGCTTAAACTTGATTTCTTATAATGATGATGTGAAGGCTACAATCATATTATTTCTTACAATGATACAAATCATGAATAAAGGGAGAAGAGATATGTTGTCTCTCTCAATTGATAACATTGTATTGTATAGGGTGCTTAAATTGTTAAGAAGAATAATGGCTTAGTTTGGCAATGAAAAGTTGTTATGCATATGTGGGACCAGTTGTCACGGCTAACAAAATTAATCATAATTACTGTAATTAGTGATAAATAGGATCGAATCCACAGAGAGCAAAAATTAATAACCTAGTGTATATTTGAGTAACGATAATAAAATTGACAAATTGATTAATTAAAATTAAGGAAACTAATTGATTTGCAAGTAATTAAAAGCATGAAATTAAAATTAACTAAGACTTAATATTAAAGGCGTTGCCATTATGGAATCGGTTTAACTTAAGAACAACTCTCACAATTACCCTCTTCACTTTTCGGTTTCCTAAACCTACAAGGCTAGGCAAATCAATAAAATTATTTCCTGACAATCTAGGTATAATCTATCTTGTCTCTCTGTTGTCTTAGTTACAGATCAAGTAGTTAAAGACTATCATTGACTATTGACAAACATTATAAGTTAACACCACTAGTTGGTATACCATTAGCAAATACAATTTGTCAACACGTATCATCCAATCAACCAATTACACAATCAATGCAACACAAGTAGAAATGACATTAAATGCAAATATAACTCAATTACAATCAATGCATAGTAATTTAAAGCAATACTCAACATTTAATTATCTCAAACCAACATTTATCATGCAATAGGTTTTATATCAACAAAATCTCAATGGGTAACACCAATAATCACAAATCATGCATCAAACTACATTAAAGTATCGTAATCAATCATGAAACGAAAACAAACATAATTTGATAAACAATACTTAACCAAATGTCCAACAATCGGGCTCATCCATTTAGTCGAGAGCTGTTGAGTAGAGCAGTGGGTGTCAATCTTGATCTCACCTATACCGTAACAGACAACCGGAAGCTTAACCGCTCATGGTGGTGTCAATGAAGGTTGGAGTGTCGAAAACAAGGTTGGTCATGGTGAAGAGGAAGTGACCGATAGCCGGATGATGTGACGAAGAGATGAAAATGACCAAGAGAACGCCCGAAAGTCAAACGGTCACTATTGTGACTATTTCGTACGCCAGTAAGTGCACTAATCGACAAGTAATAAAGTGTTGAATAAAGTGTCGAATCCCACAAGGACTGAATGTTAAACAAACAAATAAATTGACTAATCTTAATTGTTATTTGAGATAATGAAATTGATGATGTGAATTTAAAATAAAAACAAGAATTGCTAGAAATTAAAACAATTAAATAACTAAAGAAAAATATTACTATATGATATAAATGTTAAGGGTTTCAATTCTATCTAAACCAATGTTGACAGACATGCTATAGAAATCAGATTCAGGAAATTTATTGATCTAAAGATGGCTAAATCCCTCAACTTAACACAATTGTGAAATTCATTAACGGTTAGGTTCCGCTCCTGCTTAAAACCTAAACTGGCCAAATAAACCTCATAAGACTCTCCCGAGTATCCTATTCAATCTATGATCTAAGCTATTTTAATGACCTAACGTGATTTCACTGCCGAGTTTATCAGCACATCAATAAAACAATTGAACACAATGAAACCTTAATCAAAAGATTTCTAATCAAACTTCACCGCCTAGTTCATCATTCAATAAGAGCCCTAAATAATTAAAGAAACATCAGATCCAAAAGCATTAAGCAAATCACACAGATTCTAGTAGAACAATAAATTCCTGAATGCTTTAATAAAATTGAAAATCAAGTCAACATGGTTCGGTAGAATCTACCCCTTAACAATAACAATCTACTCCATAATCAAAGTGATAACAATCAACATCAGTTTTGAACTCATCATCATAACAGTTCCAAACTGATATATAAAAGTAGAGTAAGAGAAAACAGAAGCTGAAATATTGAATAATTGATCTCTGGAAAAGTATCGCACCAACTTCTCTCGAATGAATGTGCTCCCTCTTTCCTTTGATCTCATCCTCTCTTTGATATCGTTTTTTCAAAACCCTAGCCTCCCCTCCTATTGCTAAGGACCTCTCTTTTTGTTATTAAAGTCGTGAGGGTATTAGGGTAAAAAGCTACACTTAAATTAAAAATACATGATAACAATTTTGCTTGTCTTCCATGCATTAACGTAACTTTCGGCTCAATTTTTAACCATTTTCTAAGCTGAAATGGATCATGAACCAAACATAAAAGTTATATCCCTGTGTCTTATCTGTCTATAGTTCAAAAATTATTCCAATCTGAGGTCTACAGCTCACGTTATGGTAAAAATACTGACGCATGTTCAAAGACATTTTTCTTCAGTTTGCAATGGGCTGTTCACAACTTCAAGCCAAGTTTTCACCATCTTCCAGTCAGAATAAGAAAAAAACCCAAACATTAAAGTTGTAACTCTGCTTCTAAGCTTTTCATAGCTTCTAAATTAAGGTCATTCCGAGTTTAAAATCTCAAGTTATGTAATTTACGCTCAACACCGTCATTTATGCTCAGAATCATCGTTTAGGCTTACAAAGTAAAATTAATAGAATTATGTAGCAATTATAGCCTAAACTAAATGAGAAGTATACTATATCCTATTGAAATTCAATACAAATTCACTATGAAAAATAGATTATCAATCACAACTCGTCGGATTCCGATAGCGGCTCACAGCGGCCGATGGTGAAATGGAGATCCAAGGGTATCGGGAGATAGATCAGGTGATGGGGAGTCCGAATCAGGTGCTGGGGAGTCCGAATCAAGTGCTGTGGAGGCTAAACATCATCGGAAAGTGCACAAAATTTAGTGTGGAAGCTAAAAAGAAATGAGCATGACGGCGACGATTGTGATTCTGACCAATTTGATGTCGACGGAGCTTGAAGGAAGATAGATTTGAGCGTGGGGAAAGCCGATCGGCTACCGCGGAGTCTAAACGTCACCGAAAATGGGAGAATCATGGCTGGAATGTGACGTGGTGCGACAATGGAAGACGGAACGTTGCCAATAGCTTGGATTGGCGGCGACGATGGCTTGGGAAAGAGATGAATCAGTCAGCCGGTGTGGGAAGATGATTCGTTGATCGACCGATGACAAAAATGGGGTCAGGTTTTGGTGGTGGCGACCGGGCCCTTTGCTTGGCCTCTCACTTTCCTTTTATAGTGAGGATGGAAAATATTGTTAGGTCCTTACACGAATGAAAAGTGACAAAATCAACCCTTAAAATATGACATTTTACCCCCTGAACAACATAAATGAGACAGATTCAGCCCTAATCAATAAACCATAACCTACTATCGACTTACACAATCTCAAAATTCATTTCAAACATGCACAAATTGTAAAGAAAAATTAAAATGTGATTTTTCATGAATAATGTCATAAATTCTTTAAGTGCCTCACTAGGATTTCATTACTAAGCACAAATGGGTATCTATAATAATCCTAATAGATTCATTTTCATGACTCTAACAGTAGTCATTTTATATAGTTATTGATTTGAGCTCATGGGAGACTCACGAACATGAAGAAATTATATAGACAAGAAAAGATTTATTTAGTTTTGTTATAGTTTTATGATTAAAATTAAACAAAACATTTGAGGGGAACAAAAAATTGATACAAAAAATATAGCAACTCTATTTTTGTCATGTTTAATTGCATCTCTAGCACACAATAAATGTAGCAACCCATTA